TCGCAGATATTCTAGAAAATCTTGTTTAAATTTATGAACTTTTATTGATTTATTCTTTCTATCGCAGTAATCGACCTGACAATAATTTTACATGTTTAAGATGCCTTTTTACAATTTATACGTATCTAATATCTAAACATTTGTATATGTATATGTTTCTCTTCTTCATGTACATAAAGTCAGGAAACAATACAGTTACGTTTTACAGCCAATAATACATACTGATAGTATAATCTACATAGAAGTAAAACATAATTTCGATCAATTTGAGAATATATCATTAATAATGAAACGATATTTCCGCACATAGTGTTTTGTAACCCGATATCCTATGAAATAACGAAGACATTAATAACTCCAACGTCGACGAAACGTCGAGCGGTTTGCAGCCGAACTGTCATCTTCTTTATTTCATTTTTAGCTTCTTTGTCATTAACTTGTGGCGTAGTCGATAGCAAATGAGCAAATCCAAAACATACATTTGAATTATGCGAATGTGAATGTATTTGGATAGCGAAAGAATTTTAAAAAAATCCTGAAATCTCGTGTACCTACCCTAACTTCTTCGTACTCCTCCTTGTGAACGTTATTCATTCGTACGCAAAGAGATATTTCTGATCTTGTTGTTTTTGACAGGGGCACAAATCCACTGGCGCCAGATGCGGTGGATCTAACGCAATTGAATTCCGTCAGCGAGTGGCTAGCTTCCATCAAGATGTCACGATACGCAGAGAGCTTTGAGCGAGCGGGCGTGACGACGTTGGAGGCAGCAGCGCGTGTCACCGTCCAGGAACTCACGGCCCTCGGCATAACGCTCGTAGGACATCAGAAGAAGATCATGAACAGCGTGACGGCGTTGCGGGCGCAAATGTCCGCCACTTCGCAGGGTTTCCTCGTGTAACCATGACCGCGACCTCAAATCCCGCGAACGGATCGTACGTAGAAATCGGCTGATCGGCACGGAACATCGCTATCCCAATGGATCTCACGAATTCGAGGCGTCCCGACGCGTCGCCTCCGCGAAAAGCGAGACGACGACCCTCCCATGAATCATCTAGGACTCGTAATTACCTAGTCAGAGCGACGATGTCCTCGAGAGAGAATATCTCTTCGCGCGCAAATAGATCCGTTGAACTAATTGGGGGTTGATCCGAGGCAAAGCTTTCATGATACCTCCGAAACGATACGCGAACATCGTCTCACTTTAACCGAGAGATTCAAAGCATTCGTGCTGCAGGCATTCCACGTTAGCGAGAGTCGAAAGGAAATTCATTCTTCGCATTTACGATACTCCTCTTAAAGAGAGGGAGTACGAGGACCACGCATTCGCCATCTCGCATATAAAGTGCAACGACTTTTACTCTCTCAATATGTAGAACGATACACCTATTGCGAAACTTCCGCGATTTGTAAGTGTCAAAGAAATCTAACGCCTTACGGGAACGGATCATTCACGAAGCTCGTTTCAGGATGTGATCCTTGAAAGATCACCGTAAAAGAATCTTAATGGGATCAATGTAACTAATGTACTCTCCCACACGAACAACGAGCACCAATGCTCTTTCGTTTCCTAGGCCGTTTCGGTGATCGATCTATCTAAAAAAGAGAAGATCAGACTGACAACGGAAATAAACGAGCCCTGTAATCACTGCCGCGAAATCTTTCGTCACTTATGAATGTTCTCCTTTTAGTTTAAAGTACTTGTGTAACAACCTGTTGGATTGTATACACTATATATTTTTTTCGGAGACTTTCATTTGAGATTTACAGCCGAATTTTTTTTATCGCGCTTGTTAGGTAACATTGTTTTGTAACATTTTGTACCGAATGGCAGCTCATTTTAGTACGTATGCATCTGCGATATAGAACATTGAACGGCGAACATATCGGCCTAAATGTCGTTCGAATATGTCTGTTCCTGGCCTCTTTTCTTAAGTATACTAAAGTTACGTGTTTGTCTATAACGATCGACATAGCAATACGCATCTGACAAGGAAAACCGACGATTAGAGAAATAGAGGACCGTATCACAGAGGGAACTGTACCAAAAATCGGATCGTAATAGTTTCCGAAATCGGTAGAGTGACAACAGTGTAGGTTCATTATTTCGTGTAGTGAATGTAGCGAGTGCATTACACTATTTCGCGTATGTCGCCTCGGTAATGTACACGATCGAAAACAAGGGCGAATGTTTACTCTTTACGCTAAATTACAACTTTATGCCTTTGCATTACCTATATGGAAACGTCGTACACGCGCGGCCTATATGTAGGTATACCTTTCGATTATAATGACAAACGACAAAACGAACGAAGCGAATATGTGCCAACGCGAGTGTGCAAGAGTTATTTTAGCGCGGGATTGCGTGACACGGGATAAACGAATGGAAAATGAGCGGACGCGCGAATGTGAGTGTGAATGGAAATTGCATCGGTGAGTGACGAGAATCTGCCGCGACCCATTTTTCGCGCTATATTTATATGTACACGAGCGTGCGATCACGAAATCATTCTATATATACATATACATATAAATAGATATTGTGTTATAAATACTACACTGTGAAAAGGGGCGAACGAGAGTAAAACTCTCTATCGATAAGAAAAAAAAGCACAAGAGACATTCCGTTCGCGCCGGAAAGCAAAGGAGGACGTGGCGCGAGGAAAAACGATTTCAAACGCGTCCCTTATTAGCGAGCAATGCGTTAACATATCAACATTATCGCGGAATGCAATGCGAGCGCAAGAAGGGACGTTCTCGCGTGCGTCGTTACTCGAGATCGACAAAAGAGAAAAGCCAGCCGGAAAAAGAGAACAACGTAAAGAGAAAATGAAATGTAAAGTCGGAGGGTGATAAGATATGTGGACAAAATACTCACGTATACGCGAGCGACGATGCGTGCGACTGATACGAGGCACGCGCGTCCACGAGGTAACACTTTTTTGATTCTCACAGTCCGACCGAGGAGTTTCCTCGCGAAGCAACGTCCATTCCAATATACATGTATCCATAATAGGGAACCGTTTCCTTTCCTTAGAGGACGAGAGACAGAAAGATAGAGGGAACGAGAGGCTTGCTTTACCGTATCTCGTTACATCCGTATTCGCTAATCGTCTGCAAAAGACTGCATCCCGGGTCGCGATACATTATACCTGGGATACACACGTTACCGGCGACTTATCTTAAAAAGAGACCAACGGAGCGGCAGACATATGCGTACGAAAATATTGCGCGTGAGATTAATTAAACGGCTTCCAAGTGAGTCCGGCGAGCCACGGAGAAATTCTTTTATTTTCTAATTTAACGGTTTAACGTTAGTAATATAGTCTACGATGTATATCGAGGCGACGTTGGATCGCGATAGGCAGAAGCGGAAGGCGTGTTTTGGGAGGCGAGATTTCTCGCGTTCGACAAGATACAAGACAACGACAAAGCGAACGTCTCTCGTTCACAGTCCCAGCCAATTCTCCTTCCTTTAATCAAAGAAGAGGCGAAAGTCTCGCCCCGGTGAAGCGCTAGACCGGTAATTAAAATCGATCGCTTCTATCTCGAAGCGCGATCCAACGATGCTTCCCTCGTAAACGAAATGTTGCTCGAAGTCATACCGCGAGCGAGGAATGTCGGAATACGCTTTGGTGTACTCTTTCGACTCGCCGTACTTCCTTCCGCGCACGTGTCAGCGAAGAAACGGAAGGGAAGAGCGAAAAGCAGGAGCGGAAGGCCGCGCGGCGAGAGCAAAATCTCCCTTAGGAAAAACAAAAAGAAAAAAAAGAGAGAGAGAGAGAGAGAAGGCTACCGAAGAACGGCGACGATTATGAAGCAATAAGTGAATACGCAAATGCAGATTTTTATATAGAGAATGTTAACAAATTTCAGAAAATATTAATTATCGATAGCGCTATCTTCCTAAATGTTCGTATTAAAGATTAAACGAGAAAAAAGGTACGATAAAACGTAAAAGGCGAGATTGTGCGGAATCCCGGCCGAAAGAGAAGCGGAAGAAGGGAGAGAGTCGTACGCGTTAGACGAATTTGCGTAATAATCTCGTTTGTAATAACTTTGGTAATAATTCGGCCGGGATCCTGCGGGCGGGAGGAAAAGGTCTTAAGAACTTTCTCAAGCTGTAATTGTCTGTGTTTTAGCGACGAGTCTGCGAGTGCGACCTGAAGTTTTACGAAATGCCGTTAATTTCGATATTTAGATTTCATAGAGCTCTATCAATATCACACAGAAACACACACATGGCTACTGTTAGGCACAGGGGGAGAGAAAATATACGAAATCGAAAATATATTAGGTGAGAGCGAGGTACGTCGCGTAGGACTTCTCCGATTTTTCTTTTGTTTTCCTCGATTTCTCCGCAGAAATCTTAGGACCGCTCCCAGTCTACTTTTTTTTTCTTTCCCTAGAAAGGAACGAAATTTTACTCTACGCTCTCAAAGTTTTCAATCATACTTCATGTTTTAGTTTTTCTTCAAAAAGTCCATATCATTAAATATAGATACATATACATGAGATATGTCTATATGTTTTTTCTTTTGTATAATTTTGTTTGTATAATTTCTATCAGTATGTAGAAAAAATAATTTTTGTATTGTTTTTTTCAAAAAGTAAAATTGCAATTACATTATATAATATTCTATACGTAATTTTGTATACAATTTTATATTATATATGATTTTATATGGATAATATTTTTATTTTCTCAAACTTTTTGTGAAAAAACAAAGTGCAAAAGTTATCCTAATAATTTTTCTATTTTTATTATTTTTTCTATGTACGATCAGAGATTATAGAGAGAAAAGAAAGAAAACATATTTTTTATATATAATTACATATATTATGTATTTATATTTAATTAAATATATGGACTTTTTATCAGGAATCGTATACGTATAAAACTTTATTCAGAGAAATGAGATCGGAGAGAATAGAGCATCAGGAAAAAACCTGAAAAATCAAAATTACTTCAATTTGCCCGAGTGTCTCCGTTGCGGTGAATTTTTGTTTTTCTCTTTAGCGCTTCTTTTTTCAATTTTCCGGCAAAGAAAGAAAGCGAGAACGACAAGTGGCTGAGGAAAGAAAATTGCCTCTCGCTTAATCCTGTGTAATCGATTTTATAACTCTATTATTATTTATTAAAAGAAGAAAAACTTATTTATTTCTTAGAGATCTGACTAAATTGCAAAACGTTCTAATTATCATAAGTTATCTATTACTATTATAGGGCAGAGCGACGTATTCTTCCCCTATTTCTAGAGTTTTCGAGTGAACTCTGTCTTGTAAAAAGAAGGTGAACGAAGCTGCAGCTACAGTGATAAATATGAACGTTGTATCGAATCTGTACGCAACTAATTATATTATATTATGTTTAGTTAAGTGTTAATTAAATGACTTACCGAGCGCGTTGTTTTCTTTTTCTTTTTTTTTTATTTTTACTTTCCACAACTCTCTTTACAGCGAACTCTGTCAAAGTACCTGCTTCGAAAAACGAAAATCTACGAGGAAAAGTAAAGCATTACACACAGGTACCGTCCCATATATTATACATAATTCACAGAAAGAGAGACAGATACACACGCGTCGCGTAATCATCACACACACACACACACATAAAACACACACTTACGTACGATAATTTATATACACTCGCCGAGCTGAGTTTTCATAAAAAAAAAAATTGGTTAAGCGAATCACCTCCGTGTGTCTTCGATTCATTGTATAAAGAAAAATGCAAAGGGGGGAAAAAGAAGCGCGAGCAAGGAGTTACTGTCGACAAATTTTGGAACGTGTCTAAAAACAATTTTTCCTATGGTGTTGTCAAGACGATGTTGAATGTACATAAGATATAATAAATAATATACCTTATACGATGTAAATCGCGACCCGGTTTGTTCCTTCTCTATCCTCGTATCTTGTTAATGCGCTATTATATAATTATTGCTAGTATAACGGAATAAAATATAAAATTTCGATAATAGTAATTTCTGTGCCATTTCTTTTGAAATCGATCGCTACAGAATTAATTATAATAATTATAATGCCTTACATATCTTACTGTTGATTATAGTTTCACAAGTCTTGCATTGCAATTGAGATGGGAAATCTTCAATAACCATCAATTTGTTAGGAAGATGTAACGTAACTTAAAGACTATCATGTAAAGAAAGAAAGATTGAAGCGTCCCTGATGAAAAATTTTCATAGAATTTTTATATAAATCGGAATACTTTTCGAAAAACTCAGAAAATTTACGTCTTTTCTTGAAATTGTTCACACATGTGAATTTTAAAATATTCTATTTCTTATTCTAATTTCTGGAAAAACTCCTTCAGATTTTATAAGATTTTATTAGAAATAAATTTTAGATTATTTCAGAATTCATATTATACGTATATAAAGATTTTTAGAAAAGATGTAGACTTTCTTGACATTAAAAAGTGTTTCAATTTGTATTAAAAAATCTGAAATTTTTTTAAAAGGTTATAAAATTTTTAGAAATCTTGAAAAATTTTGAAATTTGTAAAATTTCTGAAAAATTATATGCAAATTTCTAGAGAACTCATCATAAATGTAAAAAACAGTGTTTGCTTTTGGAAAATTGGAAACTTTTAAACTAGAGAAAGTTACATATATTTTATACATATATATATATCTTATTTATATAGAAAAACATTTTATATTTGAACGTAAATAATCGCAATGCTTTGCAACGGAAGAAGCTGGAAAGTAATGACATCTTGAAGAGCTCTGTTGATAAAAATTTTACGGAGCACTAATTTTAATTATATTACAAAAGGTCTTTTTGTAATATTGTTTTTCAAGCATATTGGTATTTGAAAAGTATACATATAATTTTATACTTATTATTATATGCATACATATATATATTGTACATATGTATGTATATATACACATAAATCTTTATTTTTCTAATTCTTATTATTTACATAGATGATAGAAAAAATGAATGATAACAATATATTTTAAAAAAATTATTCATTTTTACTTATTTATTTGTTTTAAATAAAAATTTTCTCTTATCGATAAATGAATATCAATTGTAAGTATTTTTAATTGTTATTATTAACTCGTATGTTTGTAGACAGATGGCAGCACCAAATAATTTGCTATACGTGCGTGAAAGCGTCTCTTCTCGGAGTATGCCGTTTCCTCTTCCGTTTGGGTCTGAGTAAGGTTCGTGGCATTTTTGTATGATTTTATAATATCCACGTTTCGTTTATCAATCGTAAAATGCGTTAATGTCATATGATCTCCGCAGAGATCTGTGATGATCGGTTATGCTTTACAATTCTATATAATTCAATTTCTTTTACTAACAAAGTAATTAACGTTGCAGAACCAAGATGGTACAACGACTAACCTATCGGCGACGCTTGTCGTACAACACAAAAAGCAACAGAAGGCGTGTGTAAGTATCTACACAAATAGTAGTAAATGGTAATGTCAGATAAAATTCATTAACTTTTACTCGCAGAGGAATTTTATTTTGTTAATGACAGTAATTTTGTCGCGTAAATTGTTAAAGGTTTGAGGTTATGTTTTGATCGCTTGCTTTAAGTTTCTTAAAATTCACACGTGTTATGTAGTGACATTAATCTTAAATTGTGCTCTTATCAACATTTATTTAATTATTATTACTATATATATTTAATCTGTATTCTGCAAAGTATTTAGAAGTGTAATATTAAAGTGAATTTTTCTTGGCAAATTTTGTAAGTTATTATTAAGAACTGACTAAGATGAATTTTGTTTATAGCGTACGTACGCCAGGTGGTAAATTAGTTTACCAATACCTGAAAAAACCCAAAAAGATTCCAAGATGTGGACAATGTAAGGACAAGCTTAGAGGTATCCAACCTGCAAGACCAATGGAGCGTTCACGTATGTGCAGACGTAAGAAAACAGTCAAGCGAGTGTACGGTGGAGTCCTTTGTCACAAATGTGTAAAAGAAAGGTATGTATTTAACATCCTAAATTGCTCATATTTTAAATATTTGTTCAATAAACATCAATTATATGTTACATTTAACAAAAGCATCCTACAACACTTATATTTTAAATACTGATACACTAGATAGAGCAATTATTTGTCTTCAAAGCAGGATTAATCATTACTTTAATAAATAAACTTGCAATAGGTTTTACATTATGTTTTATATAATATTTATAACAGATTGCACTGATTTTTAGGATTGTACGTGCATTTTTGATTGAGGAGCAAAAGATCGTCTATAAGGTTATGAAAGCACAGCAGGCTTCTGCAAAGACGAAAAAGACAGAGAAGTAATCTTGTGCTTTTTATTAAGTAAATAAAACAAGTAATAAAATCCCAAAAAATGAACTGTTGCCACTATTTTATTATGGTATGTCTTGTTTAGTGTACCGTACTAACTTTGTGAATTATTTCATAACATACTCATATAGTAAAACCTTTTTTAATTAAGAATCCTATAAATATAAAATATTCATTGAACATGTCTCAGTGTAAATTCACCGCAGTAGACAAAATATAAAATTATTTACCTATTCTCATATGTGCCTAGTTACTTGAATTGATAAAATTCTATTATTGTTTAGTAGATATATGATTGTCTGTGCTGAATGTTGCAGTTAGAGTACTTGCATCAATTCGATATCATTTTTCTTATAATTACATTTTTTTATATTTATTCTACTTATCCCATTTTTTTTATTTAGTGTACAATATGTTTTTAATTACAACTATATTACTATATAACTATTGTTAGAAATATAACCACAAGCTTTTTTTACATATAAGTGAAGTTCGTGGTTATAAACGAAATTAAAAGTAATGAATGATTTAATTGAAAATTAAGTTACAATAGCTACTTAAATGAACGTGTACATTAAATTTTATAAATTTTAATGAAAAATACATTAAATTTCATGTACATGTACACATGTAAATATACTTTTCAATTCATTATAAATTATTAAATTTAATGTCATGTTGAAATTAAGTTCAAATGGTGTAACTTAAAAGTATATTAAATTTCATGAAATTTTTAACAGTGTATATATTGTGATAGATATTTTTAAAAGTACCAAAACGGTAATTTCTTGAACTCTCAATATTCAAATTAATAAAAAGAAAGGCAAATGAGAGCGAACACTGCAGTTGTTGGCATAAAAATATTTGTTCGAAATATATTTACTTGTACATTCCACTTAAATTGATTTCCCATATCGAACGTTTCGGCTTTTTTTTTTCAAGCCATCTTGAGCGAGTTTACCATACAAGGAAGAAATACGCACACATTTTTTAGAGCGATGTAAATGTAATGTTGCACGCACACATTTTTGAAAGCAATATACGTAATGTAGCACGCAAGTTAATGACAGGCGCGGGAATGCGTGCGCAGAAAACGCGTGATGTAAACTCGCTCATTCCATACGTTGTGTGTATACGTGGCTGCATTTAATAGGCGCACGTATA